CAACGTAGAGACTTTCATCACTAACACTATCACTATTAATCACTATCACTATCACCCCATTGTTCATTGATTTGCTTGATCGGGCACCAGTAACGTCTCCATCTGTCCCTGTCATGTGCTAGTGTAGCTCGATGGCACGTTGGGGAGGGATCTTTCAGGGTCAGGGGAATGAGGACCATCATTGTTACTGTTTTTGGTATATTGAGTATGCCACGGGTAGCTTGCCAGGCTCTGCTGTGCAGGCAGGATACTCTCGGTAACTTGCTGGGCTCTCTGAGAGGGATGTAGGTTTTGGGGGCAGCCTCTAATCACCTTTACAGGTGTTTCCAGTTAGGCATATATGTGTGTGTGGGCAAGATACTCTCGGTAGCCTGCCAGGTTCTCTGAGACCGAGAACTAGACAATAAGATATCGCACGGCCACATTTGCGACTGCATGCTTCTGGGAGCTTGGTTTTATAGTTTTATGGCTTTATAGAGACTTTCATAGTTATTAATTATACTTGGGGGGTATTTTACTGAATCTTTGTTTGGTGCTGGGGTCATGCTGTGTCCTCATTCACTGGAGGCTGCCCTGTGGTTCTGCATTCCCAGCCCCAGAGTCAGCGTTTTGGTGATCCTGTTAAAGCACGTCCTTGGCAGTTTGATGTAAGGAGAAGGCATGTGAGTTTGGGACTCTTCTCCCCCATCCACAAAATGGTTGGTTTTGTGGATGGGTCTTTCCAGGGAAGTCTGAGGAGTCAACAGAGATAAAGACTTGCTAGAAAGTTCTTATTTCTGTCAACCTTGACCCTTTTATCCCCATGGGCAATTGCCTCTCTTATTTTGGGGGGATGTCGTAGAGAATTTTGCCCAGTGGTTGTCATGATCCAGTAGAGGGGGGGCATTTAGGGCATTATTTGTGAAGTTGAAATAACTGGAGCGATAGCACAGCTGGTAGGGCATTTGCCTTGCACGCAGACCACCTGGGTTCAATTCACAGCATCCCCCAAGCACCGCCAGGAGTAATTCCTGAGTGCATGAGCCAGGAGTAACCCCTGTACATCGCCAGGTGTGACCCAAAAAGCAAAAAAAAAAAAAAAAAACAAAAAAAAAAAACCAATGACCAAGGTTCAATTCTCTCTGTGCCTCTGGACAAATTGGTAAATCTCCCAGAGCTGCCTCTGCAGATTGTCATTTGCAGGAGGAGACCGTTTGCATGCGTGATGCTGTGTGAGAGTGTGGTTCTTGTTGGTCCTTTCCCTGTCATCTACACGCAGACCTGCATTTCAGCAGCACCTGTGTCCTGTTGTCACTTGCTTCTGCTTTTCTTCGAGAGCTCGAGATGTGGAATTACACGCTGACTTCTTGTTCCAAGGGAAGCCTTTTGCTCTTGGCTTCAGATTTCTCAGGCTGAAGCTCTGGCCTCAAAAAGCAAGGGATCCTGATGGTTTTCAGGGAAGCTATTCTCTCTCCTTCAATGCCAATCACACAGTATTCCTAAGAAACGTTTTGGAATCACAAACTGTCTTTGGGTGATGTTGTTATTCTGATAGCTGATCAAACACTTTTAGAAATCAAGAGCATTAGAGGTTGGCTAAGGCGGAATGAATGCCATAAATCAAGATTACCTGGAGGAGTGGAAGAGATAAGGGATTAAGCTTGGAAAGAGATAACAAGGGGGAGATTGGAAAAATGCACCAACTCCAAGGACCAGGTGTCTGAGACCTGTTAAAAAAAATCCTCTGAGAGATCACTCTGTATGGGAGACATGTGCTGAAAGTAGGTAAAGGACCGAACATGATGGCCTCTCAGTATTTGTATCGCAAACCATAATGCCCCCAAATAGAGAGAGAGTGAAAAGAAAAGTATCTGCCATAGAAATGGGGGTGGGGTGGGGTGGCGGGAGGGAAACTGGGGACATTAGTGGTGGGAAATGTACCCTGGGATGGGAGTTGGAACATTGTCTAACCGAAACTCAATCATGAAAGCTTTGTAACTGTATCTCACGGTGATTCAATTAATTTTTTTTAAATCCCCCCCATGAAAACATTTTTCACTAACAAATTCCTATAAGAATAGAATTTCTTTAATATTAATTATATTTATGCTTAATGTAGAAACGTTTGGCTGCCTTGTATTGAAATGTTACAAGGTAAAAGGAAAAAAGGAGATGTCCCTTCCGTGAGGGACAGAATCTGTGAGATCAGACCTGTGCTCTGTGCGTAACAGAAAACAGCATCAAATTCCTTGCCTGGCAGTTCTCAAGCCTGAACAGAAATGGAACTCAGAGGGTGATTCTTTGGGAACATTCTATTTTCCTCGTCTTCTCAACTGAAAATGGGGCCAGGGAGTGAGTGGGCACAGACCCCTGGCACCAAGAAGCTGGGAGGAAGTGGAACATTTCAGCGACACAGAACGAGCCCGCCCCTGAGCATATTACTGGGGAAATACCGTGCAAAACCCAGCAGGCTTCTGCAAACAACGCATCCCTTTAAGTTAATTGGTGTTATATAGAAGCTGAAATGTTCCACTTATTTACAAAGCTACAGATTTATGTAAAGCAAAACCAATTACACTTAATGCCTAAACTATTCCAGGTGCTCTGTGATAATGTTGCTAGGCGCTAGAGAAGAACTGCCGCGTGTGTGCATCCTGTTCCGAGTGGAAGGCTGTGCAGTTACTGCAATTTAGCTCATCACACGTGTCAACCCCAACGCAAGAGTTTTTCAGCTCTCTTGGTGTTTGATTTGGGCCAACTTTATAATTCTGTAGATCTCTTTTCATCTCCAAGGATGAGGGAGATAATAATAAGTGCCATTTTCTATTATTGCGTAGAAATTAAGAAGATGCTGTTGGGGGGGGGGGTGGAGAAACAAAGCAAGGCAGAGTGTTTTTCTACTTGGGGAAATGTTCACTTGAACTGAGGGGAGGTGCTTAGGGGTATCTCAATCTTTTGTGTTCATTAAACCCAAACTGCAAACTTGCCATTGCTGCAATGAAAGCTTGTAAGGCATCTTCAGGGTTGTTCTCACTATTTTTTTCCTTTTTTTTGGTGGGGGTCAAACCCGGCGATGCTCAGGGGTTACTCCTGACTCATGCACTCAGGAATTACTCCTGGCAGTGCTTGGGGGACCATATGGGATGCTGGAAATTGAACCTGGGCTGGCCGCGTACAAGGCAAACGCCCTACCCACTATGCTATCGCTTCAGCCCCTGTTCTCACTATTTTGTCAGTGCACAAATGCCAAAGAGAGGAAGAATTTGAAACAGTGGCCAGGCAAGGGCTTATTCCTGTAAGAGCCAGTCTTCTCATTTGTCCTCTCCACAAACAGACAAAAGAAAACAAGAGTTTGAGTAAGAGAAACACCTGGTGCTTTACAGCTGCTCTTTGGCAATTAAAAATGCATATCATACCTAATCAGGATGGGTACATCTTTTATTCTACAGATATAAAATATTTTATGTCTACACAAGGGAGGTGCTTAATTGCAGAATCATTTGCAATCAGCTGGTAAACCCACCTATCCAATCAAGCATGAGCTGTCCCAGAAAAGCCTATTCCTGGGCCCCCTCATCTTTAAAAGGCTCAGGAATGATTTGTGGTTTTGTTAGAACTAGAGATTCCTGCAAACAAACAAACAAACAAACAAACAAAAAACCACCTCACTAGGGTCAAGATGGTCAGCAGCAGTGGTCAGAAAGATTCCTCCAAAGCTGATGGTTCTCAGCCCAACTTTGATGAGTATTGCTATAAATGGTTGAGACATGAGTTTACGGGAAAGAAAGAAAAAGAAAGAAAAGAAAAGAAAAGAAAAAGAAAGAAAGAAAGAAAGAAAGAAAGAAAGAAAGAAGGATTTCTATACTTTACTAACATGAAGGAATCTCCTTTGGAAGACGAGTTTTTTTTTAATTGAATCACTGTGAGATACATAATTACAAAGTTGTTCATGATTGAGGTTCAGTAATATTTCATCACTCATCTCTCCACCAGTGTACATTTCCTGCCACCAATGCCCCCAGTTTCCCTTCTATACCCTCTGCCCAGCCTGCTTCTATGGCAGGTACTTCCCTCTGTCTCTCTGCCTCTCTGTCTGTCTCTGTCTGTCTGTCTCTGTCTCTGTCTCTGTCTCTCTCTCTCTCTTTCTCTCTCTCCCTTTCTCTCTCTCTCTCTCCTTTTGGGCATTTTGGTTTGCAATACAGGTACTGAAAAGTTCTCATGTCCCTTTACCTCCTTTCAGCTCCCAGTTCTTGTCCAGAGAGATTGTTGGAAGATGATTTCCTGAACGTGTCTGATGTGGCAACAGTGCTTAGGAAATTCCTGTTAGCCTCCCTGAGGGAGCTGATCCCTTGCCTCTTCTCAGCACTCATTTAACCTTCCTTAATTTCCTTCTTTCCTTTAATCCCAGTGATGCCGTCAGTTACGTTTACTTTACTTCCTCTTCAGTCTGTGACTGTCTGCTCTGTTGAAGGCTTCTCTTAGAGTCAGGCTGCTTTCCCACTCAGCAAACCCTTAATGAGTTCATACCTGAATTCACTATATCAAGTGCAATTTCAAGATTGAATATAGTAATATCTTATGTAGATTTATCTTCTACTCAGACACAGTATATGATCGTGATGCCTGGCAGATAGTAAGTGCTCAAAAACGTGTTGAAAGGAAAAACTATTAACGTATGGTTATTTTGATTCTAATGGCACGTTAAAACTCTAATATTATATACTTTGTTTTTAATAGCTGAACCATTCTAAAAGATTGCAGAATAGTCTTCTGCATAGGAAATACAATTTTGTGGTCATAGAACAATTTCCTAAGTTTCTAGTTAACTTCATTAATTATAGTGTATAACATTGGTGGCACACCACTGCAGTTTAATGAAGATTTATAGTCTTGGTAAATAAAGTACATGGGTACAATATGAAAATCTACTCCCACACTTTCTCATTCTTAAGCAAAAATGCATAAAGTGTTCAGCTGAAGGTAATAATGATAACTTTGCTTCCAAGACAGACAGAGTCAAATATAGTTTCATAGGGCTGTCTCCCAAAGATCAATACTAGAAGAAAACTCCTGTGTGCTACCATAAAATTTCAGAGACTTTTCATGGAGGAGAAATGTTTCTTCAAGATTACTTCCATGGATGTTCCGGGCATTAAAATGATTTAGATTACAATATCTGAAAAAGAAAAAAAGAAAGCCCCTTTTAAGTCAGATGTAGATGACTTGGTAAATCCTTTGTTTTTCTACCATGTTTGTCCACTTTTTTAAAAAAAATCATGGGCTGGAGTGATAGCACAGCGGTAGGACATTTGCCTTGTGCACAGCCAGCCTGGCCGAGCCAGGTTCGATTTCTCTGCCCCTCTCAGAGAGCCTGGCAAGTTACCGAGTATTCAATATGCCAAACACAGTAACAAGAAGTCTCACAATGGAGATGTTGCTGGGCCCGCTTGAGCAAATCGATGAACAATGGGAGAACAGTGTTTTTGTTTGGGCCCATAGATACTGGCACCACAGAGGTGGTTATTCAAGGATACAACACACCAGAATGGACTGTATAAGAGGACAAAAGGGACTTTACTATATATGAAGGTATCTCATAAGGACTTTTAGGTGGTATCCTCTTTGCAGTCTGCAGTTAGTAGCATTGAGCAACTAGAAAGCTTGATCCTCTTCCAACTTTAGAGAATTCTTGGCACCAGGACTTATGAGAGGTTGGTTAATCAGTCACTCTGGAAATTGGCAAATTCAGTGCTGAGACATTGTGAAAAACCATAGTTGAAGAGTATCACATCACAGTCCTCCCGTTGTTCATTGATTTGCTCAAGTGGGCCCAGTAACGTCTTCATCCTGAGACTTGTTGTTACTGTGTGTGGCATATCAAATACGTCACGGGTAGCTTGCCAGGCTTTGCCATGCCGGCAAGATACTCTTGGTAGCTTCTCCGAGAGGGGCAGAGGAATCGAACCTGGCTCGGCCAGGCCGGCTGCACGCAAGGTAAACGCCTTACTCCAGCCCAGTTGAAGAGTCACTGTCACTGTCACTGTCACTGTCACCCTGTTGATCATCGATTTGCTCGAGCGGGCCCAGTAACGTCTCCATTGGAGACTTTGTTGTTACTGTGTTTGGCATATCGAATACATCACGGGTAGCTTGCCAGGTTCTGCCATGCGGGCAAGATACTCTCAGTAGTTTGCCAGGCTCTCCGAGAGGGGCAGAGGAATCGAACCCGGCTCGGCCGGGCTGACTGCGTGCAAGGTAAACGCCTTACCGCTGTGTTATTGCTCCAGCCCAGTTGCAGAGTAAATGCATGAATTCTTTTAGAATAAGCGCTGATTCAAGAAAAACTTGGCTTTCCTAAGTCTCTTCTAAGTGCCAGACACCACATTAAAGTCATGCTCTCCCCTTAAATTGTTGCATTTTCAGTACAAGTCTGAATGACTGGAATCATCCCTTTTATTTCATGGAGAGGGAAATAAATTCAAAGAGATTAAACAGCTTCCTTAGGATTCATGGATTGATAATATCAGAACTCTATTATTTGGAACCTTGGAATGTCCCTCAAATGATATGTTACTTTTAGAGACTAATTATTCTCTAAACACTTTTGAATAAACTCTAGGAGAATAGAAACTGCAAATGTAGGCTGTGGTCACTGATCTGTTACTAGGACCTTAACCAGGGCCTACCAGGTAGCAAATGTTAACAAATATTTGTTGAGCATATATTTGTTGAATTTGTGTGAAAAGTTTAATTTGATCACATAAATCTCTGAGGACAGACAACTGTTTTGTGTATGTGAAGGTTTCCAAAGTGAATTTCAACTTTTCCCTTCTCATTCCATTGCAAAAAGAAACAGAAAGAAAAGAACACTGCTTGAATACTCATTCATTTGTCTCTGCTCTATGCCACTCTCCATGAATGTCACAGATTATGAACAAAAGATGATCAGTATTATTGTGAAAATAGGCACAATGATGGCAACTTTGTAAGATATGATTCACAGATTGAAAAAAGGAGTGAAGTTCTAAACACAAATACCTGAATACCCCTATTCCTCATCCTATTGAGAAACCTGTACTCTCTTTTTAGCCTCCAGTATTGTACCCCTATTTGTAGGAAGGTATTACAGATGGAGCGATAGCACAGCGGGTAGGGCGTTCGCCTTACAAGCGGCCAACATGGCCGACCCGAGTTCGATTCCTCCGCCCCTCTCGGAGAGCCCGGCAAGCTACCGAGAGTATTCGATATGCCAGACACAGTAACAACAAAGTCTCCAATGGAGACGTTACTGGGCCCGCTCGAGCAAATCGACGATCAACGGGAGGGCCTTTACCTTTACCTTTACCTTTACTGTTCAATGACGAAAAGACATTTCACCTGCCTGCTTACATTACCCCCAACCTAGAGTAAGACTCTCCATGTTTCATATTCCATGTTTGTTTTATTTCAGATTTGATTTTTTGTACTTTTGTTTTCTTTCGGGGACTGAACATGGGAACAGCCACTTGCAAGGCAAGCGCCTACCCACCATTCTATCACTCCGGCCGCGGTAGGGCGTTTGCCTTGCAAGCAGCCAACATGACCGACCCAAGTTTGATTCCTCTGCCACTCTCGGAGAGCCCGGCAAGCTACCGAGAGTATCTCGCCCACATGGCAGAGCCTGGCAAGCTACCCGTGACGTATTCGATATGCCAGACACAGTAAGAACAAAGTCTCCAATGGAGACGTTACTGAGCCCGCTCAAGCTCGAGTTTTCTTTAGGCAAAAATAAAAAGTATATCTGGTATGATATTTATAGATATCCTTACCAATACAGTCACTGGTTGACATTCTATGTATTCTGACAAGATTAGTTTGAATTCAGGCTTGCATCAGACTAACAAACTTGGTGACAGAGCTGCCCGCTGGTGCTAGCGCAGACCTGGGGCCATCTATAGATTGGTCAGGATGCTCTTCCTTAAATCAGTATCAGTCTTTAAGATACTGTGGTCAGGAATAGTACGGAGTTAACCGAATTTGCCACTATTACCTGGCTCTTACCATATTTGGATTTGGTAAAAATTAAATTGTGAACAGATGTATACTGAGATCAAATACTGTCTGACTCACGAGCACGGTGTTTCACTACTCTTGTCCCTGATGCTCTTGGTGTCACCTGTTCCCCCTTATTTCTCTGCATTCTTACTGTAATTCTTTGACAATAATAGTTAGTGTTAGACTAACATTATAGTTGCTAGCATTTTTGAGCATTTACTCATTCTCAAGATAACTTATTGCAATGACTATTCTTAGGGTTTCTTATTTACAAAGGAAGGCATTGAGGCAGAATTAGCTTAAATGGCTTGCAGGAGTCTGTTTAGCTATGTTGTGGACCAGGATCTAACTGCTTGCTTCTAGAGATTAACTTTTAAACTAATTCGTGAATGACATGGGTCCTATCTTGCAGTGGGAGAGAAAGGACACTTGAGAAACAGCACAGGTCTGTGTGAATGTGGTAGGCTCTGCAATGTCTGGGGGCAACAAAGGAGGGGAAGAGGTTTTGCCTGTTGGTTCTGTCTTCATTGCTCACTGTTTTGTTAAAAAAAATCAAGGATATTATTATCGCATCCCTCTTGTGTGATTCAGATGTTATAATTTGGTTATTTAAGAGTAAGACATTTTGGGGGCTGGAGCAATAGCACAGTGGGTAGGGTGTTTGCCTTTCATGCAGGTGACCCAGGTTCGATTCCCAGCATCCCTTATGGTCCCCTGAGCACCGCCAGGGGTAATTCCTGAGTGCAGAGCCAGGAGTAACCCCTGTGCATTGCCAGATGTGACCCAAAAAGCAAAAAAAAAAAAAAAGGACATTTTAGGGAAATTACATATTGTGGAAGGACAATTTGATAACTTTTGTACTTTGAGTGGATAAATACTAAATGCAGGGATGTCATAGACATAGTACAGGAGGTAGGGCACTTGCTTTGCAATGCCGCGAACTCCAGTTCCGTTGCTAGCACCCCAGATGTTTCTCTCAGCATCGCCAGGAGTGACTTCTGAACACAGATCCAGGGATAATCCATGATCATTACCAAGTGTTCTTCCCCCTCACCCCCACCCAATCCAGGCAGCCTTTCAGATTTTGGATTTTGACAGCAGTTTTGCTTCACATCGTGATTGTGTCACTTTTCTACCAAACCGTTAGCTTCCCAGGAGCAGGACTATTATTAGCACTAACTCTTTGTCTTACTGACTTTGTGACTTTTTCCCCCACAGGATTGATGTTCTAAAGATACTTATTCGATGAATAAAATTTAGATTTAGGCAAAAGAGAAGTCACCATGGAAGGGATGGCAATTGATTAAATAATCCATAAATGAATAGAGGTAAGAGAGGAAAATGAGATCCTCATAGTCACTTCTATTTGAAAGACGCTGTATTTTATCAGAATTTATCTCCCTAAAGTCCATAAGACATTGGCATTGCTGCTTTGATTTTACATGTGTGAAACCAGGTTCAGAGAGGGTAGATAATTTGCTCAGAAGCACACAGCCATCTGAGAATGAGAAAGAGGTGAGCTGGCCATGGATGGTACATGTGAAGTCATAGATTGGTCTCTGATGAGTGGCTAAATGATTTTGCAGTTTGTTATTGACCTTGAAATGGTCACTGCTGATTTAAAGGCCTGACTGGAATCCAAATTATGTAAGCATCATTAGATTTCTAGCTATTTGTTTAATGATATTTGTTTTTAACGATAATGACTCATTCATTCTTATTATCAATATGGTTATTTCTAATTCTAAAATGATTCTATAGGGTAGATAAAATGTTGTCTTAGAACATGCTTTAGAATAGAAAAAGCTCTACTTTTTTAATAAGGATCAATGAAGAAAAAGTGAAGTCTAAATTTAAATTTTTCTCTGAATAATCTGCTCAATTTCTCTAATATGGTAATTTGTCCAGTCATGGTATGTAGGATTTTCATTCGCTCAGGATGAGTCTGATGCCCAAATCAATATTTCATAGACTCAGAAATTGTTACCCTACTACACACTTACCTTTGTGAAACACTCCAGAATCCCAGGACGTTCAACAACGTTAATGAGGCCAAGAAGAAGAAGAAGCTTTCTAAATTGCCTTTGTTTAATGTGTTTGGAAACCAATTGCCTGTTTGGAACAAATGTAATTGTTATTCAACTGCAGAGTTGTAGGTTTCTTTGAATATTTTATCATTATACAATTCATAGAGCTTTATTCGCTTCAATAATATCTACAAAGCAAAAGAGCTGATCTGCAACTCATTGTCAAAATTCATTTGATGCTGTAATTAATAGTAAAAATGATTAGCAAAGAACCCCAAATATTTTGAAGGTCAGAACACCAACACCTTAATTTGCATAGCACAATATAGGTGTTGAAGAACTAGCTTATAAAAGTCACCCTGATTATGCTATTAGCTTTCAGAAATCACGTTTCTCATTTTTATCCTTATAATTCTAGTAGCTAGAACAGCGCTGGGACATAGGGGTTGCTTGGTAGAGGTAAATTGGATGAATTGAAAATGTTTGCTCTTATCAGATAGCCTATTGCATATGCTAATTGTAAAACTAGTATGATAATATATGTAGATGCCAGATGATACGTTATTTTGATAACTTAGATAAATCATAATATTATTGCGGGCTCCGTAGGTCAAATTTTTTGCAATCTATGGTAGACGTAGAGATTTTCTTTTAATCGGATGAGTAATTCCTTCAATTTAATGTCCTTGTATAAAGGACTATTACCTCCTTAGGATGTCAAACTGAGTATATCTGAAACTGTTTAGAATTCAAGGTAATTACTTTCAATTTGCTCCTAAGCTATTGCCTTTACTTTGTATATTGCTAGAACTTATTCTTTCCACATCAGCATCTATAGCTATATAATCTCTGTCTCCATATTCTTCACTAGGTGTTGAAATATTATGTAATGTCATGAGTATATGGGCTGGAGCGATAGCACAGCGGGTAGGGCGTTCGCCTTACAAGCGGCCAACATGGCCGACCCGAGTTCGATTCCTCCGCCCCTCTCGGAGAGCCCGGCAAGCTACCGAGAGTATTCGATATGCCAGACACAGTAACAACAAAGTCTCCAATGGAGACGTTACTGGGCCCGCTCGAGCAAATCAACGATCAACGGGAGGGCCTTTTACCATGAGTATATGATGATACATACAATGCTTATGAAATATTTTAAACAACAATGAAATATACTGGTGTTGCCAAATACATTATAGATAAATAGTACTATAGAATATTTGTAATTGCTTAAAAGGGAGGAACCTGTTTTTGCAGAGAGAGAACTTAAAGTCAATTGTAGTCATAGGTGGGCAGAATACTTTTAGAAAATGTCATCCTGTATAAGAATAGGAATGGATCATCTTTGAACAATCAATGACCAAGAGTTTTGGCATTTTTGTGCCTTTTTTTAGGGGCAAGTTTGCAGAGGGGTTGTTAAAAGGATTCTGGGACCAAACCCATCAGTCTGTGTCTCTACAGACTTCATCCTAAGTGCCATCTTTGACTCCTGGGTAGCGCATTGCTTCTTGAACTAGAAAATGTTGCCTGGCCATTCCCTTGATGGTGAAGACCTTTAAACGGGATTTGAATGAAATGCTGTGTTCAAGGTTGATAGTCGGCAAGTGCCTAAGTATGGCAGCTGTGATTAATTGTGCCACTTTTCATTTAAAGCTGTTTCTCTGCTGTTATTTAGCTGCCCAATGACTATTATTATGAGTCGACCATGAAAATGAGCCAGTGTCCATTATAGACTTGGACCTATACATGAAAATATTTATTATATTGGTTTTAAAACCATTTTGTAAACTCCACCTCCTGGTTTTCTTAATTTGTGGTCAGTTGCAATAGAAATGTGTGTTTCTGTTGATAGACTATTGGGTAACCTTTTGTGTGTGTACATGTATGTGTGCATATGTGTATGTGTGTGTCCTTAGTATTATCTAAGTATTTGTTATACGTCAATATGCATGTTGGGGTGGGAGTCAAGGTAAGATGAAAAGACATCACATTACTATCAGGAAGAACTGACCCATCCCACAAAGCCTAGTCAAACAGTCCTTTTTTTATTTCCTTTATGTGAATATCCCAGTCATATTTCTGTCCTTTCCATTTCTCATCAGCACTTTGCATGTCATGCAATTATACCATTTTCTCACTATGTTTCTCTGGCTAGAGTAAGAGAAGTTCGCATTGAGTATGCGGAATCTCAAAATTAACATGACATTAATTCTTGGAGCATGGATTTTAAGCTATATATAATAAGTAATTGCAAAGACTATATTTTAACAAAGTCAGATGAGGGAGAAGAATATAAATTTTGTGATATCTTTAAAGGTAAAACAATTTTTAAAAGAAATTGTGCAATTATAGAAAATACCAGTCTATTAGAAATAACACAAGATCCCCTGGGTTTTCCAGGGTGTTGTACTTTCATTGTGGATACTAGGTATATCCACAGTAAATGAGAAAGGGATGTTTTGGGGATGACATCTGGTAGTGTTCCTGGTTGATGCAGTGCTGGGAATCAAACCCAGGTGCATGCAATACCCATACCTTACCCACTCTACGACCTCTCCAGCCCCGTAGAAGTGCTATGAGTTGATATAACAGTCATGTGGGCTGGAGCGATAGCACAGCAGTAGGGCATTTGCCTTGCATGCAGCCGGCCTGGTGAGCCGGGGTTCAATTCCTCCACCCCTCTCAGAGAGCCCAGCAAGCTACTGAAAGTATCTTACCCTCACAGCAAAGCCTGGCAAGCTACCCGTGACATATTCAATAAGCCAAAAACAGTAACACCAAGTCTCACGATGGAGACGTTACTGGGCCCGCTTGAGCAAATTGATAAACAACGGGAGGACCGTGACCGTGATGACAAAAGATACTATTGTAAGAAGGTTAGAGAAAGGCACTGTAAATTTAAGTGTAACAAAACATGTTGTGAGTGGAATTATTTAAAACTTAAAATGAAAGACCACATTATGCAATCTACTGAGTGATAGCACAGCAGGTAAGGCATTTGCCTTGCATTCAGGCCCACCCGTGTTCAATTCCTCTGTCCCTCTTGGAGAGCCTGGCAAGCTACCGAGAGTATCCCACCCACATGGCAGACCCTGGCAAGCTCCCTGTGGCATATTTGATATGCCAAACACAGTAACAAAAAGTCTCACTATGGAGACATTTCTGGTGCCTGCTTGAGCTAATCGATGAACAACAGGACAACAGTGACAGTGACAGTGACTGAGAATGTTCTATGTTCCTTGTTAAATATCTTTCTTTAAGTGTTCGACTTTTTTCCTAATGCTGATTGATTTCAGTCCAATATTTTTGTGTTATTAAGCTAAAAGTGAACATACTCCATGCAACTAATTCACAGAGCTCAGTTGAGACTTAGAGAAATCATCACCTGTATGGATAATATGGGCAGTTGCTAACATTATGTGGGCAAGATTCTTTATGAAACTTAAAATTGGCTTCACTATATAGTGATAGTCTCTCTAAGAAATGACATGAGATATATAAAGGGAAAGAGCACAATCTTTGAAATAAACACAGAGTCAAACACTGCCTTTACTTTTAAATACTTTTTTGGGGGGCATCTGTTCCACTTGATCACTGTGGCATTGATATCTACTCTCTCAAATGATAATACCATCTCTCTCATTGAGCTGTTAGAAGTTAAAGAGATTCTAGATGTCAACGGTTGGAAACAGAGGAGATACCCTGAAAGTATTAGCTTATCACCTCCTCTTTCTGCTGTTAGAGGTGGCTCATACAAAATCTTATTGCCTGGGCTTGATCTGTGACCCGTTTCCTATCAGGTATTTCTGCACATTCTGTCTGCCATATTTTCTTTCTTTCTTTCTTTCTTTCTTTTTTTAAAATCATTATCTCAGGACTGGTTATAAAATGTTTCATTTAACATTGTCAGTTGACTCAGCTCCTAGGTACTATAACTTTATTTTAGTAGCTTATAAACTTTTATTGTCATAATTCACATTTGTGCCATTTTTCATCTAACATTTCTTGGAGCTCCTTGAAATAAAGAGTATCCTTGCCAAAGGAGAGCAGGTGAAGACCTGAGGACTAGAATAAGACCAATTAAATGTCTCTGGATCTTTACTTGGGTAGACAGGAAGGTTCACAGTTTACAGCATGAGAAAAAATGTACCACACGATAAGTCTGAGGAACACAAGATGCTATTTGTTATTATTCCCATAAACCCTAATTCTATACTTGAATCAGCTGCTTAGTGATAATACAAGACTACTATCATAATAGAACACTCACAAAAACTTTTGACAGTAGTTGATATTCCCTAATATATTAGAAACTCCCCAAATCTTGCTCAGCTAGATTTATTTTGCTCACTTGAAAATCTTTTGTCAAAAAAATTATCATTACAGGGAAATGGGCATTTCAGATTGTTTAAGGAAAGGAACTCGTGGATTTATTGGGAGAGGCTATGCAAACAAATAATTACTTGGCGACATTAGAATTTAGAGATACTCAAACTCTTTCCATTTATCCTAAAATGTCATGGTCATCTTGTCATTATTTTCTGTGTTAAAGTATATATAGACACAGAAAGCAGAATGAAACATAGTCAGTAGCTGCCTCGTTGCCTTACTCTGAGCAGCATCTAAATTACTGAAGTACTAGTACTTAAGCCCAGAACCAGCACTCTTACAACTTAACACCTACTCATCTCTGAAGAAGTGTCTCACCAGCAGTTTTTAGAATACATGGTACAAATACTGTCTAAAACACATAAAATGACAGTTTAACTTAAATCCTCGGACTAGCATTCACCCTAGTGTGAGACTCACGATTGAAGTAATTCACAATGAATTTAAAACGATGCATGGTGACCCACACATGTTGTGATTCTACAGCACAATGTTGCTAATATAAGTGATATACTTCCTTTCTGCTCCCAGCTTAGGTCCTCTAGTGTCGGGACCTGCATTCCACATGCTCCCCTTATGTTTTGCATCTTACAGAATCCCAGGTTTAACAGTTTCTTCCATTTTACATCCGATACTCTCTTCACTTGGCAGGCAATGGTACATAGCAGGCCAGTGTTCCAATCTTTCTATCAGCGAACC